GAGAGAGAGAGAGAGAGAGAGAGCGCAGCTAAGCTAGTCCAAAGCCAAACAAACAAAGAAGCAAAACTAGCGCCAAATGCAAAGCCTAATAAAATAAACCCAGGAAGGAAGGAAGAAAAACAACACCACCAAACAGAGCGACAGACGGCGTGATGGTTTATGGAGAGAAAAAGCGAGAGATATAGCCGTTGGATTGGGTCACAAATAATAAAGGAAAACAGAAATCAATCAATTCAAGCCTTTACTTAACCTTTTGTCGTACCTTGTTTTTTCTTTGTTACTAGATCCTCATAGTAAAAAAGATATCAGATTCGAGAAACAAAGATACCCTTAACAAGAAAATCAATCGATCACTATTCACTACTCTTTTTTTTCTTTAGAGAAACGTTGAAAAATATGATCCAAGGAATAACAAGAAAGGTGCAGACTGCAGTGCTGCAAGTCCAAGTGGTAAGTGGAGCAAATCCTTTCCAACAAAAAGCTAAAGGGACTCAAAAATCTCCATTTTCACGTTTGCTTTTCCACACTTATAATAATAATAATAATAATGGGATGGGAGGTCCAAACAAAGATACTGTCGCCTTGCTGTATTCAACTATATATATCCTTTGGTGAGGATAGGAATAAGAATATTGATTGGATCTTGTACAATTTTTAGGAGGCTCAAACTCAAAACAAAGCCAATTATCCCATCCAGGCATGCCAATTAATTACCCTTTTGACCTCTTCAAATATGCTTATCCCACTTGTGTCTATGTTACCAACAGCTGCAAATTAAACCAGAAAACAAATTAATTTCAAGGTAAAAAATCTCACATTAATTTTCTTGTCAGCACTATTGGTTGAAATTGAAAGATAGTTAAAATCTGATGAAAGAAAGCACACACCATTCGAATCAAATTGACTGTGGTGCCATTGCAGCTGGGTGAGATGGAATGTTGAATTAGAAACCTTAGATCTTCTGTGAGTAGTTGCTACATCATTCTCAAAGTCCACATGAACAAACTCACTGACAGCATAGTCACTCACGCGAGCTCCTGCATCACTGTTTATTTTCTTGAAACTGTTATTTCATTTCTTGGTGCCATCTGAAGCAGAGCGTGTTGCCTTTCTATGACGTTTGATGACCCGCTGACAATGTTTGTTCCGTGATTTAATTGTTTTGGATGGGGTTGACATGCAACCAGCCATTGTAGCTTTTAAATCATGCAAGTCCCAACTACAACAATGCCTTCATCAAGTCCTCTCCAACCTGTGTGCCTACAAATGAAACAAAATACATCAGAGAAGATTAAAGGATTTCTAGAAAGCAGTTTCTATTATCACAAACAATCATGAGAACGCAATCAATTCTTTCATCGTGAGACTGTTCCAGTAATTTATGGCTGAAACTCTAGAACAGTAAACCAACTTAACACTTGGAAATTATTAGAATCAAACGGATGACACACAGAGGTCTCTATGTTTAATGAGTATGATGGCACTATCAGAAAGCACCTTGGTTAGAAGCGACTGGTAACTTGAAGCACTACACTAGTTTTTCAATCAATTTGTAGATGAAAATTTGTGCAATCATCATAAAAATCAAATGTTTGATTCAAACCTTCTCAAAAAAAGTGGGATGTCTCTTTCCCAGTACCAAATCTTTAGTTCTGGCTCACTAGAACATAAACATGACCAGAAAACAAAAAGATAGTACCACCACCTCAAGAACAACTCAACAAAACCTTAGTCCCTGTATTTGCTATTATCTATCTTAAGCCCCAAATCTTTAGTTCTTACTCTAGTTTAATTAATTAGTACCTTTGTCTTAAGTAGTTGGTATTTGCAAAGTAAATGGGAGCATCAATCTCAAGTATGAGAATTTGAAAATTCTAGGAACATTGCTTGCATTGGGATACTGCTCAACATTTCTGTAAACCATGGAATTCGGAAGGTTTCCTCGAACAAAAGTCCTTGGCCTTGCCACAAACAAAAGTACCCTGATCACAGATATTGCAACCTACACAGAAGAAAAAAGAAATATTAGTTCTAATGCGTAGTTTTAAGTTGTTAGATATAGTGTTACTGTCACACACAATAATTATACGTACTGCTAAGACTAGTCCAATTTCAACGCTGCCAAAAATGACGTTGATATAGGCACTCATGCAGACAACAAAGTCAAACTCGTCAACATTCCAGACGTGAATTGTGGCTTCATGGTTTATGACAAGAAGCAAAGCCCGACTATGTGTTTCTATGTCTGTATATTCCCCAAGTCTGATTCAGTCAGGATTTCCAACTACTCATCCAACTTAGGCCAA